TTATATATATATATAAGCCTATAGTCTTTATTATCTTGTACAATGCAGAAAAAAAAAACAGACTACCACCAGCCTGAATAACTTCTTATAGTCTTATCTTTTAATGATCGGATCTTCACGCTCTAGGACTCTATCTAAAGGATTCGAAGATGTGTCCACAAATATGCTAATTAATAAGTGCAGATGATATTTTAAGCTACAAATTCAGACTCAAAAACTTACTTTCTCTGAATAAACATATCTTTTTTCAACGGATTAGGATTTCTGACCCCCAAAATATAAAAGGAACCTGCAACCTGGGAAATATGGTCTCCATAGTTTAAACAATCCAAAGTTTCAATCCCTTAATGTTAATATTACCTTTTGCGTATTTTGCCATATCTTGAAATTTTTTTGCACACAATTATAAAATTTGTTCGCACAAAGAAAATTCCATGCAAAAAATAAATTTTAGTACTGTAAAAAGCCCCTCTGTAGTTTCACACAAATACTGATTGCCAATCACTACCAAAACAGCATCCCTTCCCTACAACACAATTTAAAATTTCTTATTTTAAGAATTTCTTTACAAAAAAAATAGTTATCCTGATGTTTAGGGTAGAGGATTAATAAATCACAGTAACTGAATTGAAGATTGCTAACTTCTTTGTTGCAGGTGTTTGTAAAGTCCAGTGGGAAGAGAGGGGGAAGCAATCCTCCTCACACGTGGTCAACATTTCCTCCCTGCTGCATGTAGTCAAGGTCGTGTTGAATGGTAGGTATATTTGTCTTCAAGAAAGGGGAAAATTTTGAGGTGGGGTGGGAGTTAAGAAAGTTGAATGTAAAAGATTGAGTGAAATGGAGAGGGCATTATTCTTGGAAGTGTTCTAACAGGAGAAGAAAGCATTAGGGAGTAAAAAGGAGGGATCCTTACTTAGAATTGTTCTAAAGGAGCAAGGAAAATTCCAATACTTAGGGGGTGGGGGAAACACGATGCCTAAAATAAGTTCTTACACAGTTTCTAAAAATTTGGAAGTCATCGGATGGCTCCATAATACATCTAACTTTCAATTTTCTTTCCTTTCATGAAATAGTTTGTTGTCCATATTTTTTCAATTATTTGCATGTGCCACAATTGCACTGAGATTTAAAAATAAAAGAGTGCCGTAGAAGGTAAGTTAGATTTACAAATTAAAGTTTATATTTACTTTCCTTTGCTTCAATTATTTTTACTTTATTTTTTTGTGACTCGTATTTAATTATGCTTAATCAAATCTAGTTGATTTTTTTAAATATCCAGTAGAAAATCTTACATTTAGTTGATTCATTTACTTCCATACTGTTTATTCCTTGTACCCAAATCAGGTAAGATCATCAAGTACTTTTATAAATGCAACAAAAATTGTGTTCCTCGTGTTATCAACTGTAAAGTTTACATTTTGAACTGTGGAACTTCAATCGTTAAATGCAATTGAAAAAAAAGAAAATTGTTTCTTACCAGGTTTCTGAGCATTGCATGTTTCATCAGGAGCTTCACAATCACAAGTACCATTTCTACAAATACTGTAAGGATCTCTAGCTTTACATTCAGCTGAACTCGTACAGCTTTTTCCCAATGAAATTGGTGAAATAACTGTAAAATAAAATTTTAGTATTTTATTTATTGATGCAAAAAGGACAAATTTTTCATTAAAATTAATATGCTGGATTCAAAACATTAAAGTACGGATATGAAATTCAAATAAAATCTGGCCAAATTTATTTAGTTAAAGTTTTAAACGTAAAAATACTTATACAGTGCAACCTCGAAAATCCAGACTGCTGGGGGGTTTGGAAGGTCCGGATTTCCGAACTTTAGATATCTTTCTTAAATTGATAGAAGTATCGAATTTTTGAATTTGCCAGTTCGATTTTGCGATTAAATGCGCATGAGTAGACCTCCGATTTCAATTTTAACAACTTAACATAAATATACACTTTAAATAATCAATAAGAGACACTAAAAATCAAAATTTCGTCATTTTCCCCGTAATCGATCGTTTAGATAACATAATATTAGCAATTAAAACTAAAAATATAGGCTTAAAACGCGAGCTGAAATTCAACTTGTAACTGAAAAAGATGCTACTAGAGTAGACTGTACCAGCTGATACTAATCCTTTTAAAGTTGGGGGATGAAAGAACTTGTCCCCACCTCCTAAGCTTCAAGATTAAGAAAGAACCAATTTTCCTTCTTCACAAAGGGGGAAAGCAAGGTGGTAGAAGAATTCCTGCTTGCCTTATCTATGGAAGAATTTAGAGGGGAATGACTGGAATTTCCTTATCAACTATGAGTTTTCATTCACTCCCCACCCCTACCTCTTCATCTACTGCTTCATTGTTGGAGTAGAGTTGTAGTTTTGCGCTCTTACATTAAAATTTTTATTTTAAGCAATAATTTTTTTTTTTGGAAAATTGCTTTTGACGAACTGGATGTAAAAGTTTGGATTTTCGAGGTCGTACTGTATCTTACTATACTTCTTAATAGCGCGGAAATTTGCACCATTANTCAAAACATTAAAGTGCGGATATGAAATTCAAATAAAATCTGGCCACATTTATTTAGTTAAAGTTTTAAATGTCAAAATACTTATACAGTGCAACCTCAAAAATCCGGACTGCTGTGAGGTTTGGAAGGACCAGATTTCCGAACTTTAGATATCTTACTTAAATTGATAGAATTATCGAATTTTTGAATTCGCCAGTTCGATTTTGCGATTAAACGCGCATGAGTAGACCTCCGACTTCAATTTTAACAACTTAACATAAATATACACTTTAAATAATAAATAAGAGACATTAAAAAATCAAAATTTCGTCATTTACCCCGTAATGGATCATTTAGATAACATAATATTAGCAATTAAAACTAAAAATATAGGCTTAAAACGTGAGCTGAAATTCAACTTGTAACTGAAAAAGATGCTTCTAGACTAGACTGTACCAGCTGATACTAATCCTTTTATAGTTGGGGGATGAAAGAACTTGTCCCCACCTCCTAAGCTTCAAGATTAAGAAAGAACCAGTTTTCCTTCTTCACAAAGGGGGAAAGTAAGGTGGTAGAAGAATTCCTGCTTGCCTTATCTATGGAAGAATTTAGAGGGGAATCCCCTCTATATTGAAGAATTTAGAAGGGAATCCCCTCTATATTCTTTGTTATATATACAGAGCTGATAAGAATGACTGGAATTTCCTTATCAACTATGAGTTTTCAGTCACTCCCCACCCCTCCCTTTTCATCTACTGCTTCATTGTTGGAGTAGAGTTGTAGTTCTGCGCTCTGACATTAAAATTTTTATTTTAAGCAATAATTTTTTTTTTTTGGAAAATTGTTTCTGACGAACTGGATGTAAAAGTTTGGATTTTCGAGGTCGTACTGTATCTTATTATACTTCTTAATAGTGCGGAAATATGCACCATTATGAAGTATGCAGATTTACAGCATTGTAAACCAGGTAAACAAAAAAACCTTCCGGTGCAGCAAATATTGACTGAAAATTTTAGAAAGGCAGAATATTAGAAACTGTGACAGTAAATTATATATACAAAGCAAAGAGACATACTTCAACTCTCTGTTGTTTAAAATATAGTGAATACTAGAAAATGGTGGAATTTTAGAAGAAAATATTATTAAATTTTTAGGGGTTTGGAAAAATTTTGAAAGTAGCATTGCCAGACAGCACATTGTGACGAAAAGAGCAGTGTATTCTGCTCTACTGTTAGTTGCTTTTAATGTTAGTTAGTTATAGTGTTAGTTGGCTTCAGTCATAGGTTGCTCTAGTTTCAGCTGTCTGCAGTGTTAGTTGTTTGTAGTGTTAATTAGCAGCAGCTGAACAAAGATGAATCAACAAAACACACACCAATACACTTAAAAAAAGCTGATGGTGAGTGTGTGGTACTCTAGAGCAGATATGAAAATTATAATTTTATGAAGCCTAGCTCATATAGTTGGCACGTAATGGAGGAAATTAGAAATGAAAAAAAAACAAAAACTATAATGTACATTTACCATTACAGTCTTTATTCGAAGGGTCACAAGCAATTCGAAGTTCATCTTCGGGGGGTGTTTCTGAAAAATTATAAATATTTTAATTATTAGTAGTATAATATGAGTAAGACTGTATCTCATATTTATTCTTTTGGAATTAATATGATTACATTATAGTTGCAAAGAAATAAAACATCTAAATGGCAAAATTCTTCACTTTTTAAACCAAGAAATGAGTAGACTTCACTGTTAATACAATTGTTTTGGCTACCACTATAATAATAATTGTTTGGCTATTTATATAATAAATTGACTGTCTTGGTGTATTATGATGATAAGCTGCATTTTCAAATTGTAGCTGCTTTCTAGAAAAATATATAAACTGGCAGAAAAAGATCTAGGAAACAAAATATTTCAACTAATTACCGACAATTAAAAATATTTGTAAATTAAATATCATTGTTACAAATTACCAACAGAATTTTTTATAAAATATACAATAACCTTATATAACAGTTGTCACAACTTTTTAAATTTTCCCAGAGTGTGGCTACCTTGTCAAGAGAGTGATTTTAGTGCAAAATACAAGAATTTTAATGCATGTAATACTATATTTAAATATATCGTTAGACATATCGTGTTGTTACCTAGTCTAAATTCTAAAAACTTGTAAAGCACTAATATACGTGCTAATAGGAAGGAACAGTTTTATGTTAAATTTTCCTTTGGAAAAAAGTGTGACTTATCACTGTATTGTCCTAAGCAGGTTGTCCCACAATCACCACTCTTGATATAGTATTTCAGAATTATTATCCAAAATTGTGCCAAAAATCATACACATTAGGTATCAAAAACTAATATTTGCATGCGAAAGAAACAATTATATCGCGATCTGTGGAAAGGACTGAGGATAAGGATGAGGCTATTAAAGATTAAGTGTGGTAATTACTGAACACCCTACATGAATTTAAATTAAACAAGCACAGCACTCTGTGGAAAGTTATATTTCCTTTGACTTTCTGGAACAAAAGTAGAAGTTAATAATTTGTGATACTTTGAAGAGAGATAAAGTGAAAAAATATGTTTAGAATGAAACATGATTAAGATACAAGATTTGTACTGACCACTAAAATTGCTCCAAAAATTCAAATTTTGAAATTTTTTTTATCACATTATTTTATATTCTATAAACATTCAAAAAAGGCAAAGACTAATTGTACATAGTAGAGCCCCAATTATCCGACACCCTCAGGGCTAGGTTTATGTTGGAAAATCAAAATTATTCAATCATTTGGAGGACTTTTCGAGTCGATTTTGTACGAGTGTAAACATTACTCAAAAGTCAAATTACGAGTCAAAATTACTCAAAATAAGTAAAAATTAAAAAAAATAAATTAATAAAACAAAAGGTTTTGTTTTTCTATCATGAATAACAATACATTATAAAAAAGAAATTTTTAATATCGTTTTTTATATTTTTATATAACAGATAATAAAAGTGTAACATGTGTGTCTTGGATAACTAAAGAGCCAAAAGATTAAAAAGTTGTACAATCGGGTGTCAAACAAATGAGGGTCTACTGTTTTTGACAAATTTTGATTAGTGTAACAATTATGTGAAAAGATATAAGAGCTTGAATGAAACATATGAATTAGTTTCTCTCAAGGATTTTTTCTGGGTTGTTACGTAAAACAGACACCTACCTGGTATTAATTCACATTGTAATTTATTTGAAGATAAACCATAGCCATCTCTGCAATCACAATATGCTGTCCCTCCTGATTTTAGGCAATAAGAATTAGGTGTTATTCGCTCACAGTCATTATGATTCAAACAGCTACTTCCTAAATCTATTAGAACAAAAAAACATAATTTCAATAAATTTTGTCAATGACAAAACTGTATAAAACAAATTTCTGCCCCAAACAGAAAGCCTGGATATCACTGCAAATCTTAGAGTAAATAACATTAATTTATTATGTAATGCGTGAAGCAGGAACTGAACATATCTGGTTTAAAAATTTTTTTTTTTCATTACATCTTTTTTATTTAATTCAAAGGCAACATGTTTGGCACAATAAGAATGTAGATAACAAAAACAAAATTTCTTAAAAAAAGCTAGTGCAAGGGGCAAATGAATATTATAAGAATGAAAAATATTTGAAATTTTTTTATTCAGCATATAAAGAACTTTGACTGCACCATTAAAATAGCGATTTGGAAAAAAAGAAATTTTTTTCGACTCACCTTAATCACATATTAGTTGCAAATTAAAACAGAACATTATATTGCAAGATTATGATTTTATAAATTTGTTGTAAAACATAAATCTGAGATAATTTTAGCTAACAGAGATAGTTTTACTTACTTTTTGCAAACTAAGATAATTTTAGGCTACTTTTTTCTTTATCTTCAGTAAGAAAAAACATATGGTTAAAATTACTAGACTACAGTAAAATTTGTGTTTCTGGCTGTACAGTAAAATTTGTGTTCTACAGTAAAATTTGTGCTTCTAGGGAAACACCAAAAAGTTTGGAAATTTTTACCAAAGCACTTAGGTAATGATTTTAGTAAAATCAGCAATAAATTATGGTTTCAAAATATTTAATAAAATTTGGTAATTTCATCATGATACCTTAGAACAGGGGTGGCGAACCTTTGTGCACCAACGTGCCATTTTTTCAAAAAATTGTTTAATGAGGTCATAGACGTGCCGTCAAATAATTTTGATTTCGTGATTATTGGGAAAATAATAATACTAAATACTATCAACTCAAAACTCTTTATTTACTATGAAAAGAAAAACATTTTGCAATGTGAAAGCCATCAGCTTAATTTGACTTAAAGTAACATCAGTGTGACTTCTGTTGTTGCAGATCAGATGATAAATAACTTATATTAGGTTGTAAGATGTTAGTTTAAGCAGGACTGCTAAATTTTTTTTGCTGGTTATTTATTGTTAGCTTGGTTTTTATGGTCATAAATTGCTTATTTGGCATTAATTGTAAATTTTTTTGTTAATAATTGTTTATTTATTTTGTTTGTTTTTTGTGAATTTATTTTAATTGTTAATACGCTTCATAGCGAACTTTGTAATCGGTGGCGTGCCCGGAATAATGTGTCGCGTGCCATTGGTTCGCCATCCCTGCCTTAGAACATGTTACAAAAATAATTTATTTGGTTACATTTGTATTTCAGTTTTGTATTTCTTACTAAATGTTTGGTAATAAAAAATTTCATAACCATACAATAAGGTAATTTCACCAGAATTTTTTTCCATGTTCAGATTTAAGTAATTTTGAGGGTTTGACTAGCATAAGTTCAAAATATTAAGGACACAACCCTAATTTAGGCACTGGGTCTCACATTTGTTTACCTCAGTTTGTTTACCAGTTTCTTTGTTTACCCTATATTTATACTTAACCATTTGTTTACGTCAGATTTTATAATTAGTATACATGTATTTATTAAATTTGCTGCTAAAAGCAATCTACAGTCTGTTTACATTAATCACGGTTTGTCATACTAAGCAGAATTATATGTTAGCAGTGAAATCAAGTTAGATTTTAATAACAATATCCCATATGATTATGATATAAATAAAATAATTTATAAAAATGATTTAATAAATGATTAAAGATAGGCACATTTCTTAAAGCTATTGTAAATGTTTTAAATTTTAAAATTGTTGAAGTATTAAAAAGGAAAATTTTACACTTACAAGGTAAGCAATCATTATCCTCAGTTACCATATAACCAATTGGGCACTGACATTTTCCATAAATCCTCGGAATGATGTATTTGCAGTAACTGTAACTGCTGGCCAGTTGACATTGTTGATCATATAAACAATAATCATCCACTTTAGCAGCTATATTTTAATAAAACAAAATTAATTAGAATTACCACACAACAATTTCAGCTTGTTTTAGAAAAAAAATGAAGAACAGGTAATGAATTTTATTTCTACCTCCTTCATTTAAAAAGAAGTTAACTGTGTGTGTATATACAGTCGACTCTCGATATCTCTAAGTTGAAGGGAGGGCAGAAAAATTTTGAGATAGCGAGTGTTCGAGATAACATTAACGAGATCGTTTAGAAGTAAATATTTTCTTCAAAGTAGAAAAATATTAATTCTAAAAAGCAGGGATGCCAACTTTCTACGCTTTTTGTAAAAATGTTTTTGTGTGGTAGCTAAGTTTAGGTTTTAATGTATTATTTTTTATTCATTTAAGCTTATTTTCTCCATCACTACTCATAAATGATTTAAAAGTCTCTATGCAATGCCACTTTATTCCAGCTCTTTTCTAGTAAGGCACTTAAAATGTGGGCAAAATTACCAAAAATTCTGAGAGCTTTGATATCTACCACTATATAAAATATTTCACAAAAAGCGTAGTAATTGGCAGGCCTGAAAAAGTAGAGTCATGAAATATAATATCTACTATTAAATATGTATGCATTGATAGTTAACTATAAGTCTGTCTATATACAACAACGATAATTTTATTTCTAAAAGTAAGACAAAAATAATTATACATTAAATAGAAAAGAATTGGTTTGAAACTCTTTGACTTAGGAATTCAAATTAACATTAGGTGGATATGTAATGCCATGGGGAAAAATATATTTTTAAAAAATAACAAGGTTTTCGAGATATCAAGAGTGTACTGTACATGTACACTGAAGTAACAAAAATCATGAAATAGAAATATGCAAATATACGGATAACAGCAGTATCGCAAACAAACTGTATATATGGATAGTGCATTAGCAAGCAGGGTTGGTAGGTTTTTGATAAATTGATGGTTTTAACTGTCAAAAACCCAATTTTAACATTGTTTTTCACAATTGTCAAAACCCCAAAGTTTTGGTTCAAGGGTAATTATTAGCTATTATAAGTATGAAGTATTTTTTTAAATAAACATACATATAAAATTACAAGTGATGAATCAATTATGTTCTTGAATTATTTTAACATTAAACTCTTCTGCGTTTTAAAAATTACTGTCAAAAACCCAATGGAAATATTTATGTTAATGGAAATATTCATGTACATATGAACAGGAGTGCAGAGAATTCTCAGATCCTAATAGTTCCTCAGAATAAAGTTTTTTTTAAATCGAAATTTCCCCCAAACTTTTAGTGTTTTTCTTTCTTTTCCTTTTAAATAGGATAACTTTTTAAAAATATTTTTGGAAAATAATGTTTATAAACAAAAAAAAAAAAAAATCATTTGATTTTATAAAATTCTTGAAAAAACCAACATATGTGTTAAAAATAATAAAAATCAAAATATATTGAAATAGTGATAATTTAAAGATCTCACTCATAAACAAAAGGAATTCAAACTAACAAATACACAAATTGACATTTAATGTTTTCCTAATGTGGAAAAACTTTGCAATGAGGCAAATTTTTTAACAATAAAAAATTTTGTAGGAATTTTTTTAAACCAAAAATTTTCCAATGGCTGCATGAATTTCCTCAAAACCTCATTTGCATGATTAGAAATATTCTGCTCTCTTGCAATATAAGTAAAAACGAATATTATGAATAAAAAAATTATAAGCTGAGATCAGACAATTATTGGTGACCACTTCAGTTTCACTTAATTTAAAAAATATGCCTGAATTGTGGCATAAAAGAATTAAAATCAATATTTAGATTGATAATAATTAACAACTTATAGTTATTAACTGTAATATAAACTGAATAGTTATAATATAGCAAATAATATTGATCCTAAAGTATTAAATATTATGTTTTTAAAAGAACCAATTAATAGTTTCAATAGTTTTTTACTATATTTTTTTATAAATGATATACAATATAAATCATAATTATAGTAGCATATAATGCAAGCTTTGTGCATGATGTAATATCTAATAAAATGTCCCCAATGACAAAAAAGAAACTTTCCCTATGTTTTTGAAAACCAGTTTATGACGTCAAAAACCCAACCGTGCCAGCAGGACTTTTATTTGTGTTCAAGTAATTCACCTAAGAATGTTTCTGATGTAATTATGACTGCAAGACGAGAATTAACAGACTTTGAACGTGGAATGGTAGTTAGAGCTAGATGTATAGAACATTCCATTTTAGAAACTGTGAGGGAATTCAACATTCCTAGATCTACAGTGCCAAGAATACCTAATTACAGGCACAACCTATCATCATGAACAATATACTGGCCGACTGCCAGCACACAATGACCGAGACCTTTGATGTGTGCATAAAATTGGTGTTAACAGAGAAGTAACATTGTGTGAATAACTGCAAGCAGCAATGCAGGATGTGAAATGGACATGTCTGTTAAAGCAGTGGGGTAAAATTTGGCTGTAATGCAATATGGCAGCAGAAGACTGTCTCGAGTGCCTTTATTAACAGCATGTCATCACATCCAGTGCCTCTCTTGGGCTTGTGACTATATAGGTTGGAGTCCAGATAGATGACTAGAAAACCCCAGCTTGGTCACATGAAACTTAATTTAAACTGGTCAGAGCTGGTGGAAAAGTTTGAGTGTGGTGCAGACCCCACAAAACTATGGACCAAATTTGTCAACAAGGCGCTATGCAATCTGGTGATGGCTCAATTATGGTGTGAGTTGCTTTTTTTTTACAACATGGGTTAGGTCTTATGATCCAATTGCAATGATCATTGACTGAAATGGTTATGTTTAGCTACTTGCTAAAACTATTATATTCGTAATCAAAACAATTATACTCTTAAAAAATATCTATGATTTACAATTTTGTTAATAACCCAATTATAAATTACAGAACTTTGAGCTATCACTGGAAAGTTGACAGATGACCTATAAATGTGCCAACCGGCAAAATTAACATTCAGTTTCTACAACAAGAATGGACAATTACAGTCAATTTTTTTAAAAATCTTAATGCATTCAGAATCCCTCAAAACTTCCAGAAAACATTTTATTACTTTCCTAAGAGTGCTATTTATTAACTTATTTTTAAGCAAAAAAACGCTTACTATTGCTTTCACCTGAAACAGGGAGTAGCATAATTATTCACAAAATGATGTCACACGTATCCAGCTACTGGTCATTTACAATTGTTGTGCTGTGAAAGCGTATACTATTTCTACTCAATCTGCGACTGATTTTAATCGAGTAATTAGGCTTATCTTAACTTAAAAATAAGTGGAATAAAATAATATTTTCCATGAGCTTTAACACCACAGATTTCAACCAAAAAGGAAGAGTGCTTCGCTGTGAAGAACTGCATAATAATTTCTTCAAATATTTTAGCAATAAATAAACAGTTCAAAGTTTTAAAATCTATTTTTCGTTTTGCATGCACTCTAAAAACCTTAAATTTAATTTACAAAGGATGTTCATACGATATAAGTGATATAAAAACTAAATTGCACTGAAAAACCTTAGTGGATGGAGGTGGCACGTTTCCATTTAGCACATGTGACGTCATAACTAATCAGGGATTGTTTTTGATTGCATCACTTACGAAGGCCTTTTTGGGCAATTTATAGTGAGTGTGGCTTTGAGGAGAACTCCTCCAGACTGAAAGTCTGGGGCAGTCTGCTGCTATGGTAACAAGCGAGAGCATATAGCTAATATGGGTGAAATGGAGGAAAGAAGATGTTGATTTTTTTACTCACGACGATCTACATTAGATGAAGACAAACCCCACATCCTTATTCGAAGTGACCTTTCCTCGTAACCATAGTACCCTCCACGATAATACCTCGTAACCATAGTACCAAGCCACACTATAAATGTTTAATAACTAATTTTAAAAAAATATTTGGCGAAAAAAAGTCACATTTTCGGTTTCAGGAGAGAATTTCCAATAAGTTAGGATTGAAAATAAAAAAATTTAACAGATGCTGTAATTGTCCATTCAAGAGATTTCAGGAGGTAAGATGTGCGACTATCAGACACTTCTAATTAAATATTTTTTAAAAAAAATTCTATAAGTATAGGAATGCAAGAAATTTTCCATAATGAAAAAGAACATATTGTGGAAGAAATGTAAGCTTTCATCAAGTAAGTTGCTGTAAAAAAAGTTTTAACATTAAATGGAAGTATAATATTTACAATAAAAATTTGTTTGATTTTTTTTTCTTTTAAATAATTCGAAGACATAGCAGCAACATAAAAAAGTATTAGGAAAATACAGTTTTCGCTTCTAAAATAGGAATTTTTTTCTTTTCGTTGATACTGAAAATGAATATTTTTCAAAATTTTTATCACAGATTCTTCTTCAATTGTTGCCATTTTGCTTAAAATGGGTGCTTTTTTCGTACTTTTTTATTTGAATACTAACGTTCGGAAACATTTTCAGGAACAATGGTACAGCAAAGTCAGCACAACTAATGGACAAATTTTACTCTATCAAATATGCAGTAAAGCATGCTTCTGCCCTTATAACAGAATCAGCGTCAGTATGAAAAGAAATACCATTACTTTGAAAACATTTTACAGCTTTTGTGCTTTTGCCCATTTATATGTTCTAAAATATTCTTCTTGCCTCCATGAGTCATTAAAATATCACAAGCACAATCGGTTCAAAAAGTATACATGCTTCCTTTTCTCGAAGCAATAATGGAAAAAAATTGATTAGTATATGACTGGTTGCATATTTTCGTTTGGACTTGGACATCATAAAAATATTTTTTAGTTAAATGTATGAAAATTAGCAAAATTACGATGCAATCCATGTTTTTTTAGTAAACTAATTAGCTTACAACAGTTTGTTGCCAACAGCTGAAAAAAAAGAGACCTATTTTTGCCAACCATTGAAAAAATATGCACAAAAATGTTATTAAAAACAGCAGGATACGAGACATGGGTAACTCTGACTCTTGATAGTTGAAATTTATATTATACCCTGCTGATGTCATCTTATTAATTTACCCACACGAAAGAAGAAGGAAAAGATTCTGATGAGTCTTATATGTATGGGGGCGTAAAATAGCGTGAAAAGAGAGGGATAACATTTAAGGGTGAAAAAAAGCTGAAGCATGTGCAGCTTTGCTTCAGCCAGCTGGTAGTTCGACGAGAAGGGAAAAATTTTTACTTGGGACATAATGAATTTGCAGGGAAAGAAAAATGAAACTTCTGCTTTCACGAAAAGATAGGTAATTTTGAGTTTGCCCGTCAACTGAGGTAAAATTTAGGAGATTTTCAAATAATTTCCGGAGGAGAAAATAAAACATAATTTCATACTCTCCTGCAAAATGAGGGAGAGTTGGCAAATCTTGGCCAACTATTAGAATGTTACTGAAATGAATGACATGCAATAGAAGAGAAACTTGCAGAAACTAAACCTTAATTAACAATAAATACTATTCAAGATTAAGAACTTCTTTAAAAAACACAGTTTTAAATTTCAGGATTTGGAGCTATCACTGAAAGGCTGTCAAATGATCAACTCTTGAGAAGTCTACATAAAGTTGCCCATGACTAAAAATTGGTGTACTCAGAGCTAAATTGATTTTTTTCAAATGTCTGGCCTTATGACTTATTTATAGTCATTGAAAAGGCCAGATGTACTGGGAATGTGTACAAATTTGATAATAACATCTTTTGTCTGAATTTTGGAACTAGAATTTAATGTCAATAGTATGGGTGCATGTGGCAATCCTTGTTTTCGAAATTCAATAACATAGATGTATGTTATCATCAAGAAGCTTGGACAATTTGATTTTGAATACTCCAACAATATCAAGTCTATGTTCAGGATGTTGGTATCCATGTAACACCTTGAAAATTTCAGACCACGCCTGATTGCATGTAAAAGTTATAAAAAGATCTGGGGTTCCGAATTTTCTTATAATTGCCCTCTTCTCTAAGAAAAAATAGAGGATAAACCATGGGATCAGGGCAATAATTCATGCAAGAAATGGCTTAGCAACATCTCCAACCACCATAGATGCACAAATCTCTATTAAATGGTTCTCCATTTTCCTCCATAAATATTGCTGTTACCACCTTTAAAAATATTGTGTTTCGAAACTGGAGCTTTGAATCGCCTGCAATCAAAATTGGAATTTTTTCAAAACATCAATTTGACATATTAGGGCTTTATTCAATTAATTTATTCATTTAATAATAGGATCACAAAGCGTAAATAAACACTGTTGCTATTCATCCATATTTTTGTTAATCAGTAGCTTCACTCGATTCAAAAACATGCAACTGCCCACATCCAGCTTTGTTTTCAGCATTTGAATCTAAAGGAGAAACAATATGATAAATCTGATCATGAATTCAGTAAGAATACAATCTGTTTGTAGGAGGTTCCCTTATCTATGCCCCAAATGATACAAAAGAAAGTGCACCATTATATTCATGGGTATGATCCCGATAATTACTTCCCTCGATTGAACTCTCACGGAGTAAATTTTTTAGCAAATCAGGAATGATGGTTAAGTCTGACCACTTGATTTTCCTATCATGGCAACATTTAATATAATTCCCAGAAGAATCTTTTTCTATTGCCCAGAAGTGAGCAGCACAAAAGCTACATACTTCGGTCATGGAAGCGTTATTATGTTCTTCAATATCAACAGTTAAATGCACAAATCGTCTCCTACGCAATGACGACACGATTCCTTCTTTCAATGTTACCTCTTTTATAACTGTCATCAACGCTTTCTTCTGCTCTTCAACCATATTTTTATTATGATACTAAAAAGTGTAACAGCACGACTAATGCAAATTTTTCAGTGAATAACAATAAATAATAATATATAATGGATGGGTGACTGAATGTAAACAGTAACGAGCTTCTTAAAACCAGAAGAAATTTAGAAAACTTCCAGTGTAACCCTCCCCTTATGTCACGTTAACAAGGCAATTACGTTTACAAGGAGCAGTCAACCATCCTTATTAATAATAATAATAATAAAGATAAAAATAATAAAATTAAAAATAATAATAATAATAATTTAAGTTCAATCGACAAAAATAGAAATCAATTGGCAAACACTGCTCATTTCTGCCCAGCTTACTAGCAAAAAGAAAGTGTATGAAATTTAAAAAAAAAGAAAATGACGTAGTGCATTCCTATCGGCGATCGTTTTCTAGATTGTTGTAGTTGCTGTTGTTGCAGTTAATTTACGTCGTACTAGAGCTGCACAATGGGCTATTGGCGACGGTTTGGGAAACATCCCTGAGGATGATCCGAAGCCATGCCATCACAATTTTGATCCTTTGCAGAGGGGATGGCACCCCCGCTTCGGTAACCCGACGACCTGCAAGCGAAGTCGAGCACTTTACGGTAAAACAATTGAACGAGGACCAATACGGCACACCCTCTATCCCTTCGCAGACTAATCCAAGTGGTCACCTACCCGCACACTGAACGCAGCCAGTGATGCTTGACTTCAGTGTGAACTGTGGGAACCACTAGGAAAATAGTAATATCCCCTGCTTACGGGAGACGAAGCTGATTTTGAAACTAAAAACCTTATTTATGTAGCTAAGGTCATACTTACGTGGTAGGCACCTGTCTTTTCTTAGTCTAATGTAATTTTCCTCACATTCGCACAATCCATTTACACAACGGCTGTGAGGAACTTTTATCCTACACTGTTGATCTGTTATACAACCATATCCTAACAATGATGCTGAAAAGAAAAGAAAAGAAAAATTTTTATCTTAAAAAAATTAAGAATGAAATAGTTAATCAAGATATTCGAAAAAAAATATATATTTATTTTTTACATAAATTGAATCATTGATGTGTCTAAAATACTTAGGTACTATAAGTTTTATAACTTTCAGAAGTCAAAATGAGTTTTTTTTTGCATATTTTAAAGTGATTATAAAAATTATCTCAGCTTTTATGTATTTAATTATGCTCGTAAACTTTTACAAAACGCTTCGTAAACCTGCTTGAACAACATGCAGTTATGGTTTAAACGTTTGTTTAGCAGAGGATTTAAATTTATTTCCAACTTGTTTATATAGATGGCAGCACTAAGATTAGAAAATGTTTCTCTCTTCGCAGCTTTTTTGTTACTATCATGCTAATTAATTAAATTATGTACAGTAATTTAATTTTTAAATTGAAATTTAGTGTTTTTTTACTCATCAATTATTTTTCCCTAAGATATATTGTTTTTTTTTTGTAATTTGATTATTATAGGTAAAAATGTTTATCATCATGAGCAACTCTTCTTTAATTTATGAATTTCTACAGGAGTAAAAGAGATCGTTACTGTACATTTTAAATATTCACAACTTTTGAAACCGTCAGTGGTTAAAACAGAAGAAAAAAGCTATGTTGTAACCATTCTTCAATGGTTCATACCAAACATGTATTGGTGTATTGTGCATTTTCAGGAGTACTCAGACTCAATAAAATAATTTTTTTTCACTGTTATTTTAAACTTCTTTAAAGCTATGGGACAAGATTTTCAGATTAAAACTATAGTGTCTCAGAAAAAAACAACATTTGAAGAAAATAAATTGCATGAAAAAGATGTAATAAAAACATGGCACATTTATTTATTAGATAGCAAAGCAATTTAAAATAATTTCATAAAGATATAAAATAACTTTGATAAGCTTATGATTACTTTAAATTTGTGAAAAATAATTTTTTTCATGTCAGTTACCTTCAGGTGAAAGTAGGATAGTAAATAGTTTTCATGTAGTAGTTTCGTTTTTCTTTATAAGCTGATATCTTTTTAGGAATAACATTGATTATAAGTTATTGTTTCATTTCTCAACTGCAGATGGCAGCACTATTATAAGAAATAAGGCATAAACATACCTGCCAAGTTTTAATACTTTCGAGGATGATTTTACCCAATGGTAGTAAAATAGAATTTAAATTATAATTTTAGGTAGAAACATGCGCTGTATTTTGGAAAAGCTTATGCGGACTCCCACGACAGTATTACATATTAATATCTGTGTTAATTTTTTTAAAAAAGTAGTGGCGGTTAAGAAGATTAAATATTAAGTTTATAAATGCAAAGAATATATGAAAAGCATGCATTTTACTACCACTTTAAATAAAGAAATAAAATTTTGCGCTAAAAGCGTAAAAGTAGGCAGGTATGCATACTTGTAAGAATTGCATGATTTCTATATATTCAATATACTATTTTAATGACTAAATTTAAAAGAGCAACTACTTTTAAAATGATTATTGATTTACTTAAAAAAATATAACAAATATTATTTTTTAAATGCTGGCAAAAATAGTAATTTAAATAAACTGTCTGAAAACAAAAATATTCTCTCTAGTAAGAATTAAGAAGTATTAAAGTTCTTGTGCCTCAGATTAAAGTTGAGGGACAATTTGGAAGGAATGCAGTTTTTTTTAAAATTTATAATTTTTTTAGGTAGGAAAAAAATTCTTTTTTTTTATTAATATATATTAAAAAAAAACATCAAATCATATGCCAAGAAGAAGAGCATTTAAATATACAACTAAGCAGTCGGTATATTTTATTTTATTATTTATTATTACGTTTTTTACATCATAATTTTGGAATTTTATAAATCATACAAAATTTTGAAACTAATTTTTCATAAGACTGAAATTGAAATGCTATCAAAGTTCATAGTAATTTTATTTTTTACTTTAAGTGTGTCTACCACTACAAAAATACAGTTCCAATTCACTAGTATATAAAACATGTTAACTCGCTTCTAAATTGGGGTACCATTCCATCGATGAATGTTGACAATTGTTTTGTTCGAATCTTTCACATTATTGTTAGACAATGACAATTATTTTCTGTTGTTGGAGACATTAAAAAAACATAAGAGGGTTAAAACATAAAAATTTTTGAATCATATTATTATTATTTTTTTTTTTTTACTATTATGAACTGAAAAAAAATTGGTACTTATTAACTTAGGTCGCTCAACCTCAAAGCGATGTACCCAAACGATCATGCATCAGAATGCTATTTAAATACTCGAATTTGGAATTTTCTCGCAGCCTCTAACCCTGCATGTACCCGAAAAATTTGAAAAGCACTTTTTACAAAGCTACATTTTTCAAGACAGTCGTACTCATAACTCAAACAAATCTTCATCTATTGTTTTCAAATTTATATTGAATGTTTAAATTTACATGCTTTAAAGGAGACAAGTAAGATTTGATTTTAAATTGTAATTTTAAATGAAAAAAAAATGCAAAACCTGAACAAAAATAGTTGACGAGAAATGTTGAATTTAAAATGCCTCTATCTTTAAAATTTTATATCTCAGAAACTATTCAACCGATTTCGCTCAAATTTTGTATTATTTCATTTAAAACTGTACAGTTAAAAGTGGTGTAAATATTTGCATACCTTACAATTCCAAATTATTTCGACCCTTTTGAAATAAATTAATAAAATAAAATAAATATTAAAAATTGTTTTTTGCTTCTATCTTTGGATTTTATATCTTTGGATAGAGGGATCTTATCTTTGGATAGAGGGATTTTATTATACTTTGTAAAATATTTTAGATTCGCTCAAATAGTTTGAGATCTTAAGAAATACGCAAAAAGTGAAATTAACATTAAGGGGCCCTAACTTGCGAATGTTCATCTGACTAGTCAGTTGGGACCATGTTTTCCAGATTGCTGGTACCCAGCATATTTGGATTTTTGATGATCCAAATTAGCATTTTTAGCAAATGAGCATTTTTAGTCACCGAACTATATTCGGTGACTAAAAAAAAGTACCTTTTTGGGGAGACAAAAAGGTACTTTTAGTCAGAGAAGGTATGTTTTTGTGTTTCATTCCGTATTTTAATTAATAGTTAGCCATATTAATTTTGCATAATAGTTAGCACTACTTAATTAGTAATAGCTAGCACTAATTAATCTCTACCCGTTTGAACCATTATGATTGGCTCTTAGTTCGTGACAAAATCCGGTCATAAGAACAAAAACTATTTAGGGTGATATTTTTATTTTTATTTTGCGCACTATGCAACCACATGTTTGTTTTTGTATCACTTAGGAAAAATCAATTTTTACCAATCATGAGTTGTAAAATAAAGGAATTTTTTTCCAAATTTTAACTTAGAAAAAATTTCCAGTATCGACTTAGTATTTTTTTTTCTGACGTGGCCTGAAACTTTAACTAAATTCTAAACACATAAGAATGTTAATTATTTTATGTATGGTATAACATATTAAGTGTTTATGAAAAGTGAACTGAAGCAATAATACATTGTGTTAATCAGTTTACTATAAATGAAACAAATTATTATTTTAAGATAAAATTGGATAATTTCGAAAGTTCTTATTTTTCGAAACACGTGGTTGCCTAAATCACGTGTTTCTGGTTTGTTGAAGGATTAAATTCCGAAATGAAGTTGACCTCACCCAAGGAATCATCCTACTCAAAACTGTAAATGGTTTCATTTCTTGTTTAAGAAAGTTAAAGCCGCGTATCATCGGTGAATAGTTTGAAATTGCACTAATCAATCCTGAGTAATCGAATTTTGAAAAAAAGTATTTTTAAAATTCGAGTTTTCATTTACTATGCTATTAGATTTTGCTATTAGAATTTTGCTATTAGAATTTCATTTACTATTAGATTTTGCTATTAGAATTTCATTTACAATTAGAATTTTTAAAAAAAGTATTTTTAAAATTAGAGTTTTCATTTACTATTAGACCAAAAAAAGTATTTTTAAAATTCGAGTTTTCATTTACTATTACACCAATTTTTCATTTACTATTAGATTTTGCTACTAGAATTTGATTTACTATTAGATTTTGCTATTAAAATTTCATTTACTGTTAGAATTTTGAAAAAAAGTATTTTTGAAATTCGAGTTTTCATTTACTATTAGACCAATTTCGCTCAAATTGGAATCAATTTGAGAAATCGAATTTTGAAAAAAAGTATTTTTAAAATTCGAGTTTTCATTTACTATTAGATTTTTCTATTAGAATTTTGCTATTAGAATTTTGCTATTAGAATTTGCTATTAGAATTTTGCTATTAGAATTTTGCTATTAGAATTTTATTTGCTATTAGATTTTTCTATTAGAATTTCATTTACCATTAGAATTTCGAAAAAAAAATATTTTTAAAATTCGAGTTTTCATTTACTATTAGACCAATTTCGCTCAAATTTTGTTTTTTTTCGCCATTGAAAATGACATTCGTTACAATGACGCAAAGAATTGCATATCTTACAATTCAAAATGTTTTCGATGTTTATTAAATAAAATAATAAAAAATAATAAATATTTACCAAGAGTTATTTTTTCCATGATATTTTCTTTAAATAAACGAATTTTATGACTGTGTGCAAAAATGTTTCAATTCGATTTAAAGTTCTCGAGAAATTGCGAAATACGCAAAAAGTAAAGTTAATATTAAGGGGCTCAAACTTTGGATCGTTTTTCTGACCAAACTATTGGGACCATATTTCCCAAATTGTGGTTATCCTCTATATTTTGGGGGTCGGAAATCTGCATCCGTCAAAAAATAGGTTTGTTTATTTAGAGAAAGTACAGTTCCCTCTGATTTCGTAATTTATACAATCTTCTGCATTACTTAATGAGTTATTTAACATTTGGAGCATAAATAAATTAACAAAATAACTTTTCGGTGTTATATTGGTGTAGATTTATCTAAAAAGATAAAAAAGAAAAG